GTTCTTGTGTCACATTCAGGACACGTCCTTCATTTTTGTCCCCAAAAAAGACCCCCCCCCTCCTCTCCCCTGAGCGATATTTGAATTTAGGAACAAATTGTTGGTGGTCTATCTGCTTCTAAATCGAAAAGCTCAGAGAACCCGATATCAGTTGCATGTGGCCACTCAATATAGGCCAAGCCAACTCGGATCACACGAGCGAGAATGCGAATGGGCACAGTGGCGTAGCTTACCCAGCCTGTTGTCCGACACTCATTCCACAATTATATTAGTCATATTATTGCTTTCTGTATCGATTCTCACGTACTGGTATTCTCGATTTTCTGTACACTATTCTGGATCTTTCTCCCCCTCCATGCGGATCAACCATGACAACCTTTACCATGGCAACGACCCCCTCCACCCCCCCATTCTCTCCCGCTTTGATAAGGTAAGAAGACGCAGGGCATGCACACAATCACACACACCCGCCCACATTACACTCGTTGTTATCTCTGCCCACAATAAGTCAACCGCCTATTCATTCACATGGCCCCACACGCACACAAGCACAGGCACATACACCTACATATACACCAGCACTCTCATCGCTGGCGTCTCTGGCAAAACATGCTCCAAGGCCAGCGAGCTTAGGCATGTCTGCGATAGGGAACACAACACTAGACACGCCCACACTACACTCACTGGCTTCACTAGCCACACCCACACCAAACCTAAACCTATCGGCAACCATACAGTCCGTATCGGGTGCAGCACCCACTCTAACTGCGGTAGGGAGACCTGTCCCTGCCGGCTTAGGCCCGCCTACACTATCTGCCACCCCCATACCTACGAGTTCGATAGTAACCCCTACGACCACCGGCTTAGGGACACCTACCCTAGGGCCACCTACGCTTGCGTCACTCGCAGCCCCCATACTGAGCTCTCTGGCAACACCTGTACCCACTGTATCGGGTGCACCCTCTCTCGCCTTCTTAAATACTCTCACACTGACCTCCCTGGCCACTCCACAGCCAGCAACGGCCTTAGGCCCACCCACATTAGCCACACCTACCTTGTCTTCCCTAGCCACACCCACACTTGGCACGTTAGCTCCGCCTACCGCCGGTTCGTCTACCGCCCAGGCACGGCCACACCCGTCTGCTGCAGTCACGTCATTGACGTCGTTGGGGACTTTGTTTGCCCAAGCACACGCACCTACACGCACAACACCACATTTATCTACACGCATAACACTACCGGTGTCTGGGGTGTCTCTGGCATCGCTGTCGCCGCATGCTCACTTACACCCACATCCGCCCGCGCAAAGTTCGATACTTACGAATGCCCACAACTCCCACACATCGGCTGTGAGTATCACGGGACAGACGCAAGCACACGCACACGCACAAGCACAAGCACAGACTGTGGTCCCTGTACCTACACCCACACGTGCGAGTAAGCCTGCAGCAACACTTGCGTCTTTGTCTCAGCTGGCCAAGCTCAACAGGCCTGTCGCAGTAGCAGACGCACATACACGTGCACACGGTGCAGAGGATGGCAGTGGTGACGTCCAGGGTCAGACCCAGGCACAGGCATACACACCTACACATACACCTGCACATACACCTGCACATATACCTACACATACACCTACACATGCACCTGCACATGTACCTACACATACACCTGCACACACCCAGGCGCGTCGGCATCCGCCGGTATTGCATACTGCCATTAAGCGTGCGTATGCCCTGGCTGAGCCATCGCGTATGGCGTGTGCTTTCACGACGCGACATGCGCAGAAGTCTGTGACTGTGCTGCCCACTGCACACACACCATCGCCACCCAACGCAAACCAAGCACGTACGGGAAGACGTGGGGATAAGGTTCAGGGCAGTACTAGAGTGCATGGGGGCACGAGAAGTTGCCCGTTGCGGGTGTACCAGAAGAGCCTCATGCAGTACCTGCCGCGGGATAGTGCGTCGTGGCTGTCCTTTAACTCGGAGATTGGGACTGAAATTGTCCGGTCTGCTAAATGTGCGGATGTGGCTCGTGAGTGTAGTGATGATGAGGCCAAGGCGGTGACAGCTGATGAGAGCGCAAAGCACGATATAGTGGTTGGTAAAATGGGTTCTGAAAGATCAGAAAAATCGGGACAATCACAAGCAGAAGGTGCAAAATCGGGGCTGAACGCCCCACAAAAGAATGCCAGATTAGGGCAGAAAGCTCTCAAGAAAGAACACAAAACGAAACCACCGCCAGCTTTAATCTTTAACTTTGCCACACCCTCTCCAGACGACGAGGTGTTTCAGAAACAGGCCGACTTAGTAGAGAAGAAAAAGGCTGGGCACAACCAGGCCAAGGCAAACGAGAAGGGTACGCTCCGAATTATGGGTATACGTATATATATATATATATATATATATATATATATATATATATATATATATATATATATATATATATATATATTATATTATATATTATATTATATAGTATATATATAGTATATATATTA